TTAATAGTTAAAATTGATGATTATTAGTGGAAAATGTAGTTGTGAATTAACATTCAAAATATTTTAAGAATTAAAAAACTTTTATGGGAATGTTTGGCTAAGTTTTTCTATTGACAGCATTTTTTGACTAAGGACATCCTCTATTTGTATATTGTATTCTTTGCTTCACACAGTTAGGATTTGGGATGCTATTACCTGAAACACGTTGATACTGATTTTTAAACCCATATATTACATATATTAACCCATATTAACATTCACTAGAATGTCACCTCCATGAGGCTGGTGACCTTGAGTGTTTGTCCACTGCCATATCCCTAAGGCCTAGAACAGTATATTGCATATATATATAACAGATATACAACAATGTTTGTTAAATGAACAAATGAATGTATTATTTATTGTAATCTATACTTTACTGTCCACTGTTAACACTTTGTTTGGGTTATACACCTTACTTCCTAAATAGATTGTAAGTTGTGATATGGGCGAGGACTACATTCTATGGTTATTTTTATCATAATATGAATTAAAACAATATTGGGTCCAGAGCAGGTGAGTATTAAGTATTCAAATCATATTTAGCCAATGATCTAGGATCTCAAAAACTTCTATATTCACTCTGTTTTGTTCTCTTAATTATTCTTCAAGGATCGGCTTTATGGCCATTTTCTCCAGGAAATATACTCACACTCTACTTCTCCTCCCTGGCTGTTCTCTGGTGTAATCCTAGTACATTGCCTGTACCATGTTAGCTCTGTACTTCTATGTTGCTGCAGTGGTGGTTGTTTTAATTATTTGTTTATGGGCCTATTTTTTATTTAGACGGTGAGTTCCTCAAGCATAGTGAATGTCTCTTATGCATCTTTATATTTCTGAATATGTTTACTAAGTGTCTGAGTAAATATCTCTTTTATCATCATAATAAAAAAAATTTTTGAAAATCAAGTGCTCCATTGTGTGGAGCTGAGTATAATATAATGCCAATTAAGGGACCTTGTAACTACTTAAAGATGCTAAAATTTGCTTAAATGTTAGTGCCAGGTTACTTGAGGGTCAGCTAGATCTTCCTTTATACAAGAATTCTTTGTACTTTCATAAGTGCAAGAATTTAATATTTTCAGA